TGTATTCCCCATTGATGTCCTATTTGCAAAGTAATTTAGAAACTGAATGTAGTTTCCAAGCCCCCTCGAATTTGATAAAATCAAGTGAAAATAATAAAGGCCTCCAGTCTGGGCCAGGTCTCACGGTAAGGCCTTTACAAAAGTTCTTTCAAGTTCCCCATCAAAGCTGCTAGGGATGCATTCATCTAGAAGGAGATCTTTGTGTCACCTGTGAGGTAACACACAGATTAAGGGAAGGAGATAGACGTCTAGGGAACAAGGGAAGGGAAAGAAAGCCCTCTTTCCTCCCAATAGCATCAGCTCCCTAATCTTACGTGTTCTGAGCACGTCTGAGCAACAGCTGAAGCCAGTAAATGTGCCAAATCACAACCCCGAGGTTACACTGCAGACGAAGAGAGCGCTACTGAGAATATTCTCTGCTGAGTAGCTACGTGAGGGCTCCTGTACTGGTTACTGGGCTAGTCTAAGCAAAAGCATGTCTGTATAAACTGAAATTTCACTTGCTGGTGGAGAAGAAATACCTCTTTGGGAGTTAAAGCCTGGTAGGGGTGTAAAAATATGCAGCCAGTGTGTCAAAAAAAATCAGGCTGCAAGGTGTGTGCCAGTCCCAGGCCACATGCTGAAGGGGCAGCCGCCAGCAGATTTGCAGGCAAATGCAAAGAATCCTTTTGCTAATCTTGTAGGTCAGAATGTGACATTTAAGCAAACCCAGAAAAGATAAAAGGACAGCATATCCCATCACTAACACCATCACCCCCTCACATGCATCAGCAGATAAGAGAAAAACTCCTCGTGTAGAATAATTATCACTGGCGAGGAGAGTATTGATGTTGGGGAAGGAGGATGGCTTTCTTAACTACCTGCACTAGCCCTGCGCATCCTAGAGAAGAAACATAAAGCCCTGTTTTGACTAGCAAAGTGAGCAAACGGGGCTTAAAAGTTGAACAGAATGAGACAGAGACAGGGAGAGGAGGAAAAACACCCTGACTGAGAGCAGCACAGGTCCTCGCTGCACGTGCACACAGTCCTGGTGAAACATGGACGCCGTGACGTTGAGGTGACATACGTTTATCCTAGGAAAACAGCTCAAACAAAATAACTGGAACAACTGTGCAGCTGACAGACAGCATCCTGACTTGTTCTTTGGTCTTCCTTTTGAAGCGTACAGCTCTTGGCTGTTGCTGAAATAAATATTTCAGGTGGACAGGTGAGAGACTCAGCCATCTGGGGGCGTCCTCAATGGGCCAAGCCTGCAAAAAGGTCTGACTTTGGTATTGACCCTCATGGGACAATTCCCTCCTTTTTTCCTTTTTTTTTGGCAATTGTTAGGGACAGGATATTGGCAAAGAGACACCCATGATATACGGTGCAGCAGCCTCTTAGATACCTGTAGCAGAGCTCAAGTAGCACCTCCCAGTGCATTTCAGATGGGTAAGGATGTTATTGTCAGCAGCTCAGCTAGATATAACTGCCCCTTCCACATTTTGGTATCGGTTCGTACTTTCTGTGGTTCCACTGGTTTTAGTGAGATTGCATCCAGACCAGAGAGACATGGGTCAAGGCAATGATGTGGCACAGTCTGGGTTTTAAGTGAGATGCCTTGCCTGGCTGGTTGGCCATCAGAGCTACTTGCAGGGAGTCTTTACAGAGAAATAAAAAGATCCATTCAAAGGATCTCAAGGCCTTTTGCATATTTTTAAAGTGCCTAGGTCATCAGGGAGCCTATATCCCTTGACAGTCAATAACAGTTTGGCTGGGAGTCTCTTGGACTCTGAGGATGACTGTCTTCGACACTTCGTATTTCCTGCAGTCTTACAGATGCAAAAGTTGCCTTTACAGTTACGGACATTACTGCTTGTAATATGAGTGCTACTCTTAGCATTCTTCCCACGGTATTTTTGTATTGTAACTTTAAAAACACAAAAATTAGTGTTCGAAGCATGTTAGTGGTTGAAGCATTGTGTTTAGGCTGCTTGTAGCATTATTCCTCAATAATTCTGGGATCATCTTAAAACTTAGGTTTCTTACATGTTTCTCTGTGTGTGAGATCCCCCAAATACGTCTGTTTCTCTTTCCAAAATGCTTATTTCAAACTGTGCCTTTGTTTAATGCAAATTTTAACCTTTGAAGAAATTTGTGTATTGCAGTACTGGAAACCTGGCAAATGTCATTAAAAAATGGGGCTGCATGTTTGAGTAAACTTGAGCCCAAACTCAGCTGATTGTAATTAGAGTTGCTGAGAAAAAACATTGTTGCAAATAGCCAAGGAAAAACAATCTCACTTCCATCTCCCTCCACAAAATCATAAACATTTCTACGAAATGGAACCATTTTTGGAAAAAAATAAAAAGAGAGAGTGAAAAGCACATTTCCCAGGGGTATTTAATTTTATTTCTTCATCTATCTATCTGAACTGTTTTCTAAGTCCAAAAAGTTTCCAGTATTATTTGTCAAGCAGATCCCTTCTTTCAAGATGCCTGTTTTGCAATCAGAGCGGAACATGCACAGAAGTGGTCTGTCCCTATCTCTTATTTCCCAGCTATCACAAAATTGTAATTTTCTGATTCCGCTGCCAGTGAAGCTTTCTGCCCTCAAATGCCCCAGTGCAATCTCTACCTGAGCTTCAACCTGATAAAATTTCAGTGGTGCCAAATACCAGCTCAGATCCCATCTGAGCTCTTAGATTCCTTAGGGCATCACAAATCTT